TATGATGTGACTGGAAGCATATATGATGTGACTGGAAGCATATATGAGAACTTTGCTATTAGGAGTCATTTTGAGAGAGAAGTGGGGGCGAGACATGGTTTCTCTGTGTAGCCCTGGCTGTCCTGGAACTCACTCTGTAGACCAGGCTGGCCTCGAACTCAAAGATCCACCTGCCTCAGCTTCCCCAAGTGCTAGGATTAAAGGCGTGCACCACTAGTGCGCAGCTGTAACAGTTTTAATATTATCCAAAAGACTGCTTGTTGGTTTGTATGTTTTACTAGAGAGATAGAAGAGCCTGAGAGGGCTGGCAAAGAAGACCGTCTGCCTCCAAATGTTTTAATCCTAATGTTTTTGGTCACTTCGGTGCCCTGTAGGGAAGAACATATAGCCAGAGTTTAGCCAGAGCCAGGTGGGCACAGGATCTGGAAATGGTTACCGTCTTTTCTCTCCCTTGCTGCTGCACAGGTGCGATCTTCTACCTGGACTTCCTCGGGGAGGAAGCTCTGCACATCTGCATGTTTGCACTGGGGTGAGTCACACCCTATCTAGCCAGGACTAGAGGGAGCCTCCCTCCAGGTGTTGCCGCTGGCCCTGGGCCTCAGCCCTGGGCCTGGAGTTGGGAGAACATCGAGCTGGAGGGTGCTGATCCCCAGAGTGAGCAGTTTGCTCCCCCAAAGCCTTCCATCCTTCTCTCTCCTTGTCATTTCTAAAATCAGGTAAATCTAACTCCTAGGGTGAGAAGCCAGGTGGTAGAGACTCTGGGGATGGTGGACTGTGACAAGAAGAAGGAGGACGGGCCTGGGGCTCATTTGGTAGAGGTCTAGCCTGGCATACCCAGCACTGCAGGAAACCAGGCCTTGTGGCACACACTTGTAATCCCAGCACTCAGAAGGTGGAGGCAGGAGGATCAGAAATTCAAGGTCACCCTCAGCTGCATAGAACCTTCTAGATCAGTGATTCTCTACCTGTGGGGCTCAAAGAACCCTGTCACAGGAGTCACATGTTAGATATCCATATCTAATGCATGTCAGATATTTACATTATGATTCATAATAATAGAAAAATTACAGTTGTGAAGTGGCAATGAAATAATTTTATGGTTGGGGTCACCACACCATGAGGAACTAAAGGGTCTCAGCATTAAGAAGCTTGAGAACCATTGCCTTAGAGAGAGAAAAATCTTTCAATCTTGATCTAGAAGAAGAAAATATGCAATTAATGTAAACAAACCGTCCACCTTTCTTCTTGGGATTCATACGTGCCTGCATGTACATCTCACCTTGATTTTGAGAAATGGCTTGTTTACACAAACTGAAAGAAAGGAAAAACCAAGTGGAGGGCACATGCCTTTAACCCCAGCACTGGGGGTGGCAGGTGAGGCAGAAGGAAGTAATCCGTGCCTTCTGGTCAGCCTGAACTACAAGGCAAATTCCAGGCCAGAGCAACACTGGGAGACTGACACACACGTTCTCTTTTTTCCCTCTCTCTCTCTCTCTCTCTCTCTCTCTCACACACACACACACACACACACACACACACACAGTCACAGGGTTGAGGGTGGGGGAGAACATTTGAAGACAATCCAGCTCCTGGGGAGTGGGACTAGGAGATGCAGGGACTGCCCATTGTTCATTCATGCCCAGTGATCACTCATTTTGCTAGCCCTGTAGACAGACTGCACTCAAATCATAGAGAATGTTTTTAATTTAAAAAATTGCAGCTTTTTGTCTAGAGAGATGGCTTAGCGGTTAAGAGCATTGGCTGCTCTTCCAGAGGTCCTGAGTTCAATTCCCAGCAACCACATGGTGGCTCACAACCATCTGTAATGGGATCTGATGCCCTCTTCTTCTTCTTCTTTTTTTTGTTTTGTTTTATTTTTTGTTTTTTTGTTGTTGTTGTTGTTTTGTTTTTCGAGACAGGGTTTCTCTGTGTAGCCCTGGCTGTCCTGGAACTCACTCTGTAGACCAGGCTGGCCTCAAACTCAGAAATCCGCCTGCCTCTGCCTCCCAAGTGCTGGGATTAAAGGCGTGCACTACCACCGCCTGGCCCAATGCCCTCTTCTGGTGTGTCTGAAGACAGTGACAGTGTACTCACATACATAAAATAAATAAATAATTCTTTTAAAAAAGAAAGAGAGAGGGAGGGAGGGAGGGAAGAAGGAAGGAAGGAAGGAAGGAAGGAAGGAAGGAAGGAAGGAAGGAAGGATGGAAGGAAGGAAAAAAGGAAAGGAGAAACTACAACTTTCTAAAAGGCAAGCTTCTGAGAACGCCGGCTGAAGGACAGTGGATGAGCCACACACTGCAAATTGTTTCTCCTGGGGACTCTAGTCCACCCTAACCCAGCTCGTGGGGGACTGTGGATTCGTACCCTGCCCCAACACTCCCCCCACGGCTGTTATTACTTGGGGTGTCTGTTCCTTGTTGGTTTCAGGCACCACAATCTCAGCCTTCTTTTCTGACGACCCTTGAGTACCCCTCCTCGTGGTTGCCCGGCCTCATTTCTCCTCTCCCTCTCCTGTCTCCTGTCTTCAGGTGCCTCATCGCCTTCTTGGGCGTGTTCCTGATCACTCGAAACAGGAAGAAGGCCATTCCGTTCGAGCCCTACATTTCCATGGACGCCATGCCAGGTAAGGATCAAACCCCCTGTATCCTGCCAGCTACCCTTGTACAGTGACTGCTGCTTGGTGTTGGCTAGACAGCCAGCGCTGGGCGAGGTGCGGAAAGCTGTGCTGTGGTGTGAGTTCCAGCCCTGTCCTTGTTGGTTTGCATCTCCTTCTTTCAAGAGGAGGTGATGACTGAGGCATCTCAGTCGGCCTTGAGAACCCCTTGCCAAGTTCCCTGGTCTGACGCAGAGGCTCTTCTAAAGAGAATCCCGATCCACACCGGGTGTGTTTCCAACCAGCAGTACCAAGCTTTGAGCCCGCAGAGACAGAGTGCTCATGGCGGAGAAGAAACATGAATGGCTTCCAACACTATAACCTTGCTCCTGGATCACTTTCCCAGGGAACTGAGGGCTCACACTGAGAACACAAGCTCAGAGAGTGTTCAGCTCAGTTGAGAACAGACACCAGTCAGCCAAATACAAGGTGATAAGGAGGAATGGGGCTTGTGGTGAGCTAGAAAAACTGAGAGTCAGACCATTAAGACTGGACCAGGCTGGGTTAAGTTGGCTGGTGTAAATTCTGCCAACTAGCAATACCACTCAAACCCAATATAGTCTTTATCTTAAATATATTAAGATGGGCCTCTCTCTGCCACTGTCACTGGGGCATTCCGTGACAAGACAGCAATGCTCGGTAAAGGGCAGATGGTTTCAGGGAACGCCGTCTGCTTTAAGTGAGCAACTACTTATACAGTGGAAGCCAATTGGCTGTGGTTGGTTAGCACCTTACCTCGGATTGGACAGTGAGAGCTCATACCGCCAAGTCTATATTCGGAAGAAGCGCATTAAGGGAGACATGGAGAATTCAGACTCGTCTGTGGGCCAGCTCCGGCTACTCACGCTACTCCAGAATTCAGTGTTCTGACTTCAGGAGCACAGTGTGCCGTGTTTCTTATTTAGAAGTACACACAGTTGGCTGGCCGCCAGGTCGTGCCCGCATTTTCTCCTACATTGTTCCACAATGTAATCACGCATTCTTCAGTCAAGTCATCTGTGAAGAAAGCATGAGGCGTCCGCATAAAGCACTGCCTAGTCTAGAACAGTGTCTAAAAGTTTACAGTGCCATGCACCTAGAATCCCAGCGTTTGGGAGGCTGAGGCAGGAGGATCGTGAGTTGGAGACCAGCCTGGGCACCATAGCAGCAGGACCCAGGTTTGAGGCTTTGATGCCATGACCCAAGTGTGTTCTCAGGACTGATTGACGTGCTCCCGTGCTGAGTGGCCCCAGCTGCATTCGCTTACTGGTTTGTTTGTTTGTTTGTTTGTTTTATCTTGCTCCACCAAAGCTGCCATCTGCCCTGCTTGCTGTGGCCAGCCTGCTTGAGCAGGGTTAGAGAACCTCGAGTCACCATTTGCATTTGACCCAACTCAGCCACCTGTGGATAAACGCAGGGTGGCTGAGTCGGGCCCTGAGGTCTCCTGGCAGTTGAGGGCTCGGGCTGTGAGTGCGTGGACTGTGTTAACGTCGAACCTGCCTGCTCAGACGCCTTTTCTGCTTATTTCCTTGTTTCTCGGCTGTGTTCCGGATAGATGAGGGCGCTGGATAGCTGAATCCCAGATAGGTGAGGTGTCAACTCTGTGTGTGCGAGTATGTGTATGTCCCCGTGTGTCCGTGTGTTTATACACTGTGTGTCTGTCCATACACATGTTCCTACGTACATACATATAGATGTATTTTTCTATGGGAAGTAGGGGATGATATCAGCTGATCCTAGACACCAGGATTGTGTGGCCAGTTTGGGAGTGTGGCTCTTGTACCTCATGACCGTTAGGAAATGAGGCATTGAGGAACAGAGACCCTGTCCTGTTGGCTGTTGAGACATTCCTACTGGACACACAGAGTTCACATTCAGACTCTGGGTCAGATTCCAACTCTGCCACCTTCCCACTGTACGGTGTGTTCCCCACACATAAATGGGGAACTCCTTGTTTCTGGGTTGTGGGCCGAATGTGTCAAGGATTCTAGCACAGTGCCTGGTATGTGGTAGATGCCTGGTTAACTTTGCCTTTCCTTCCATTTTGCTTTAAAAAACTGAAGTTTTGGGGTTAGGCAGATGGCAAGGTAAATAAAATGCTTGCTATGTGGTATGAGGACACATGCACACTCACACACATGCACACTCACACACACATGCACACTCACACACACATACACACACATGCGCACACACATACACATGCACACATTTTCACACACATGCACACTCACACACACATGCACACTCACACACATACACACACACGGTACGGGTGCGCATATACACATACACACGCACACTCTCTTATTTAGTATTTCAGCTGTTGGCTGCCTTAGTCATCAACAGAGCCACTTCTCTGTGTCTCCTGCTTTCTCTGGTCTTGTGGTCTGGCTTTTGACTGTCAGTTTGGTATCGTGACAGACCAGTGGCTTCTGTTCAAGGGGTCTTCAGGATACATCACATTTGGATGGGCTTGATATGTCCAGCCCCCAGAATCTTCCTAAATGGATAGAGAGAGCACCAGCCCCAGGCATCAGGATCAATGGCACCTCCATGGGCTCTGCTGTCCCTAGCCCAACAGAAACAATTTCTCAGAGCATCAGAGTAGGGCCACACTCATCCTGACAGGTGATTACGTAGACCACATACCATATCTGAACACAGACCCAGAATGAACGTGGTCCTGACCACAAAGAGCAGAGGGACTGGTCAGTGCTGACCTACCACACCTGAGTGTGTCCAGCCTTCTCTGGACAAGGCTCTAAGGGACAGAAACTTACCCACTTCTTCACAGTATCAAATCCAAAGCAAAGGCTGGCCTTCCTGAACCCTCCTCAGGTCCTCCAACCCAAACCTGAGACCCCTGATAAGTACTCCTAACACCCCACGTTCTACAGGGAGAATCCATACCCATCAGTCTCTTGTGGACTAGTAAGATAAGACTGGAGGTGTTGACACAGTGCAGAGCTATGTAGTACTCTGTAATCATGTACACCAGCTCTCCCCGAGCAGCAAACACCTTTACCTGCCCACCACACCCCTGAGCCCGAAACCATAGACTTTTATTTTATTTTATTTTATTTTATTTTATTTTATTTTATTTTATTTTATTTTATTTTATTTTAGAGACAGTCTTCTGTAGCCCAGTCTGCCTCCAGACTCTCTATATGGCTGAGAATGACCTTGAACTTCTGAACCTCCTGCTTCTACCTCCCAAATGCTAGGATTACATGTGTGTGCCATCCTGCCAATTGTATGTGATGCTTGGGAGCCAACCCCAGGCTTTGTGCATGCTAGGCAAGCAAGCAAGCAAGCAAGCAAGCAAGCAGGCCACCGCTGGTGCTCCAGTCCCAGCCCGGACCATACACTCTTAAACTGGCCCTTGAAATAGCCATGCATTGAATCTGTGTCAGATGGAGGGTAGAGGCCTTCCCCAGCTGTCATTCAAAGCCGCTCTGGTGCTAAGTTCCAGCCGCTCTTTAGCCCTTTGCAGGGAGGCTTCTCTACCTCTTGGAACCTGTTTTATTATCCAGGAAATGAGGGTAGTCGGTTTTCTCTTCCCTAGCGTTGTTTAATGATTAAGTTCTGTCTATAGGGAGACAGGCTAGCACTGCAGTTAAGACTGTGGGCTTTAGCATTTAAGCACTGTAAACCCTGGACTGTAACACAGGACTGGTAAACCCTGTCCCTGCCTCTTACCAGCTCTCAGGGCTCTTGGGGAAGTTCCCTCAAGACGTGTCTAGTCCTTCTCCACGGCCTTAAGGATCAGATGAAACAAAACTGGGTGAACGTCTGAAACAGGATATGTTGCTGTCTGAATCCCCGCACACCTCGGCCGCTGCCATGACTGCCCACGTTGGTCTCCAGCGGTAGAGTGTTAGCCCAGGGCAGAGGGTGTGTCAAGAAGTGAGAGGGCAACTGTCATCATCCTTCACTGGAGACACTTGGCATTTAGTTAGGAAAGGTGTTGGCCCCCAAGCGATCAGGTGGCCCTGCCCGGAAGGATTGTAGAAGACGCAGGAACGGAAGATTGAGTTCTTTAACCCAGGCACAGAGGTGTATGCTTATGGCACAGCATGTAGGCATGGAGGTAATTAGTTCAAGGTCAGTCTGATGTCCATAGAAAGTTCCAGGACTGCCAGGGTTGCACAGTGAGACCCTGTCTCTAAAAACAGCAGTAGCACAACAGTACCAACAGCAACAAAACCAAACCAGGGGCTTTCTTTCCCTTACATGTAAATTCAAATGCAACATTAGTGTGTTCTAAATCATGAGACCTCACACCTCACCCTGCATATAGATACGGAACGTTAAGGTCAAAGATCAAACCCTCCCTCCCTCCATCACAATGTTGGGTATCCAGGATGCAAAAGTCACCTGATTTATTTCCTCCTGGCTCCTGAGTTAATTCAACAGCAAAGTGGCATCTTCCACACCCAGGGCACGGTGTTCTGTCCTGTCCACTCGCCACCGGGGATACACACATTCCTTCCTCCAGTGTAAATCTGAGGAGTTTCTCTTAACTCTAAAGCATTGGGGAATCAGTAACGCACTTGACCAGCCCCTGAGCTCTGGAGGGTCTGTGGTGGGAGAGAGGGAAGTTCAGCATTCCTTCCTGCATGATGACTGAGGACATGGATGTCATTTCAGGTATGCAGGACATGCATGCAAAAGGGATGACGGTCCAGCCTGACCTCAAAGCTTCTTTTTCCTATGGAGCCTTGGAAAACAACGACAGCATTTCTGAGATCTACACCCCGGCCACGCTGCCGGTCATGCAGGAGGAACACAGCTCCAGAAGCAACCCTGGGGTTCCCTACCGAGTCCTGGAGCACACCAAGAAGGAGTGATAGGCTTCCCTGGGGGGGGGTCACTTCCCATAGGCCACCCATGGTTCCACTCTTCATTGCCCAAACTGCCTTTCACATATCCTGGTTTCAAATGGAAAACTCTGTCCAAGAAGACCTTTCGAGGCCCCTGTCTCGGGCAGAGAAGCCATTCAATGACCTTGGCCTTGGAAATTTCAAATAGTGGGGGGAGTCCCCAAGGTGGGGTGTGTGGCCTGTTAAGCTAGTGGGAGCTGAAGCCATTTTACCTTCTTGGGACAGTCGGTGGGCGTCAGGTAATGGTCACAGGTCACAGGCGTCCACACATTCCTTGGAGTGAAGGCAAGACAGTGAAGAGTCTGCTCCCTCTTTGCAAATGCAGCAAAAGGCTGGAGACCTCCACAGTGGGTCTTCCTCTACCCCACACGCATGCTTCAGCTCCACCTGATCCACTCACCATTCTAGAGCTCTGAAGATACTGCTGTCTCGTTTGCCAGGCCCAGCAGGGCCAACCCTGTGTGGAATAAGCTGTCGTTTGCACCTTCCTGGCATACATGGGCCATGGCCACCCCATCACCTGTGACCTTCTGTGAAGACCTGGCGGTGTCTGCTAGGTCTGTTCCAAAAACTGGCTTCGTTCCAGTCCTTGAAGATTATTTCATTGCTTCCTCCCTCCACAGAAGCCAAGAGAACAGAGGTGGAGGGGGGCAGGAGCATGGCGAGGAGCATGGCAAGGAGCATGGCGGGGAGCGGAGCTGCCTTCAGCCCTCTCTGTTTCCAGCCGGTAAGAAAGGTTCCCGTGATTCTCCTGTCCACCCCTACAGAGGATGTGGCCGAAGCTCTCTGTAGGGCTAGCTACTCTTCTCCTGCACATCTGGCTCTCCGGAAGAGCCAAAGCCTCCTGCAGATCCACTCTGGCCTCCTCCTCGTCCTCCCCGTCCTCCCCGTCCTCCCCTAACCTCCCACTAGCTAAGCCTCAGCTGCCAGTTTTCAGCCCGGTTCAGGCAAAGCAGGTATTTTCACACACAGGTCTGCAGCTTTCTTCCTGTCTATTCCGTGAGTAGCCTCCCCCTCTTCCTCCCTCACTCCCCAACCAATGCACACATTTGAGAGTAGCTGGCAAAGGCTTGCAGGCTTTGACAGGCATTAGAATTCCAGAGGAGTTTGTTTAAAACGTAAGTTCCTCGCTCCAACTGTAGTGACCTGGGTCAGTGGGCCTCGGATGGGGCCCAACAGCCTGCATCATCACAGGAGATCTACACCCCCAGAGAACCTACCCCCTCAGAAGCCTTCTCACGGGCCTCTAAATCCCAAGGGACCACACAGCCCTGCTGGAAGGTTTAAACCTCCAGTTTCTTACCCACTCAGGGCTCTGTAGCAAGCTAGATGGCCCCATCGGACCTGCGGCAGTCCCTACCCAGTGACCACTACTGGAAAGTGACAGTGTTAATAGGTCAGTGTTGATAAGCCATCCTCCGCACAGCTTTTCACACCCAAACAGTGCTCTGACTTCAGAACCCAACCATCAGCTATAGAGCCTACCACCACTTCCGTATTTCGTCTTGACCATGTCTGTATTGTGGCTTGCATGCCTGCGGTTAAAATGGCAACAGAGGAAGGGCTGTTCAACTCAGCCCAACAGCACTAGGCCCTGGGTGTTTTTCTTAAGTTCTGGGGGCTGTTTTACCATATATCTCACCCACAAAGCTACAAGCATTACACGTAGTTCTGCCCTCCAGGACTTCAGGGGACACACACGTACCAGGAACCTTGGGAAGGGCAAGCTGTGTGGCAGAGAGGCAGAGAGTTACAGAGGCTTGCCAGAAGGCTAAGCCCTGAAGTCAATAGGTGTTCAGATTGGAGACAATTTCTGTGCATTCATGGTGGAAATATAGCTAATATTAGAGAGTGGGTGATCACACCCTCCTCTGACCCCTGCAAGGAAATGGGCAGCTCTGGAAAGTCAGAGGTTAGAGCCAGGGTTGTCAAAGAGCCTGGGGAAGGATAAGAGACGAACATCAAAAGACAAGCAACGGACCTGAAGCATAGTGGCTCACACCTGGGACCCCAGTCCTTGGGAGACGTTGGTCTTTTCTTCGGGAGGATTGCCACAAATTCTAGCTAAGTTTGACTACCAAGTGAGACTTCGTCTCAAAACAAGATTAACAGTGAAGATAATCATTAAAGATACATGACAAGCTGGCAAAGGCAAGTATCGCAGAGGACGTGGGAGCTACTGAAGAGTCATGAGGAAGAGTGTAGCAGGGTCAGCACCTATGGGAAAGGAGACCCCGTTCTGTGGCTGGAGAGAAAGATAGAGCAATAAGTCACCTTTCAGGGTCAGGCTCCAGGCCCCTAAGAACAAAGAACTGAAGCTTCTGTTCTGCTAGCTGGTGGGGATTGGCACGTGGGGGGTGTGCACAAAGAAGTTAGCAGGGAGATTGTTTACTCGGGGCAAACCCAGGCAGTCACCAGTCGTCTTGGCATAGTATGTATGCCCAGCCTCATTCTTCCCCTTCCCTCCTCCCGTATGTTGTTATCCCTGGCCAGCCTGAGGTACAGGTGTACTGTGACTGCAGGTGATGCAGAAAGTGTGGGCAGTGCCACCCAGACACTGCTTCCTGGGGCCTGAGCAGCTAGATGGCTTTCAGGTTGGGGATAGTAGCCACCATTGTCCAAACAAAGCCATGAGAGATGAACAGAAAGGCCTTTGAGCTCCTGAGTGGAGATGGGGCAGGGCAGTGGGGCAGTGGGGCAGTGGGGCAGTGGGGCAGTGGGAGACTGTCCTAGCTGCCCTGGTTGGCCCCCAGTGTCACTGAATTGTCAGCTCACAGCAGGGCTGCCCTGTTGTTACAATGAGGAAGGAAAAGACCAACTTTTTACCCACAACCCTACTTTCCCTGGTGGCTCTGACATCACCCACCCTGAAGACAGGCATTCAGACTGTAGTCTAGGCTGATCTTGAAATCTCCATCCTCCTGCCTCAGCCTCTGGAGTGCTGGGATTGTGGGTGTGTACTACTGTGTCCAGCTCACATCTGAACCCTGCTGGCCACATTAAATGCCACACAGCCTCTCCCAGCCACAAGGCACCTCCCACAGGGTCGTCAACCAGGGGCTAAACTTCATTTGTTCACTCGTCTTCCTCCCCGACCCCCACTCCAAATCTCTGTTCTGTGGGTTGGGTTCCTGATTAGACATTAGAACAGATGTTCTTATGAACTGCTGCTTTTGAAGGGGGAGTCCTGACTACACTGTGGCCTGATGGTACCCTCACTTTCAGCACTAGAATTTGGGGTTCATCATGGATCTGAGTACTGGTGGGGAGGGGGAACTTAGGATCTCTGGTTGCCTTTCCAGTGGAACTAGCCGGCTTAAGGGTATCACAGGAACAGACCCAGGTGGCCATCAGAGAAGGTCTGGGCCCTACCCACTCTGCAATCTTGCAGATTTCAAATGTGACCCAGCTCCGACACCGAAGTGGCTGTGTACATAAAGTCACTCTAGAACATAGTCTATGTAGATGCTTATATTTTGTTAATGTCAAAACTAATACAGCATGTGTTATTTTGCAAAAGTGTGTATACTGTGTGTAGATAACATTGTAAAGTGGTATTTAATTAAAAATCCAAGCAGTACTTGCAGAGTTTGAGCCCTGTGTTCCGCTAATACTTCAGCAGCAGTCTCTTAGAATGGTCCATGGCATTTCTGCCTAGTAAGCCACATGTGGTTGCTGGTCACTCTAAATATGGCTAGTGTGCCTGAGGCACTAATTTTGTACTTTGCATGTGCATGTGCACACACGTGAACACATGCATGCCCCCACTGTGGAGTTCAGAGGACTTTGGGGTTCAGTTCTCTCCTTCCCCCATGTGGAGTCCTTGCATCAAGCTCCGGTCATTCGGCTTGGCAGTGGGTGCCCTTACCTGCTAAGCCATCTCACTAGCCCCAAAATGTTCTACCACTGAGCCATACCCCTGTATGGTTCCTTTCTGTTAGTGTGCTAAAGCACCATGGCCAAAGCAATATATGCAAGTCTGTTTATTTTGGCTTATGGCTCTAGGGGGTGAGGGTCCGTCATGGCCGAGAGGCAAGGGCAGTAGGAACAGGAAGCTGATTCTTCACATCAGGAAGCAGAAAGATCAAACAAGAAGTGGGGCAAAGGTATAAAGCCCTTCTTCTAGCAAGCCTCTACCTCCTAAAGGTTCCAGAACCTCTCCAAAGAGCACCCAACTTGGGAGCAAGGGTTCAAGTATCAAATATTTCTGTCAAATTACTACAACTCCCAAGTCCCATTCTTTCTTTTCCTCCTCCTCCTCCTCCTCCTCCTCCTCATCATCATCATCATCCACTGTGGAATAAATTCAGCTTTATGTAGACAAAGATTGTGGCTGGCACATCAACCCCAGAGTTCTGCTGTGAGTGTATTAAATCTCAAAACAAGGGCTGGAGAGATGGCTCAGTGCTTAAGAGCACTGACTGCTCTTCCAGAGGTTCTGAGTTCAATTCCCAGCAACCACATGGTGGCTCGCAACCATCTGTAATGGGATCTGATGCCCTCTTCTGGTGTGTCTGAAAACAACTACAGTGTACTCATATACATAAAATAAATAAATTTTTAAAAATCTCAAAACACACCAAGCAGAATGTCAGCTGGCAAATACAAAGCAAGTGTAGGCCAAGAGACAGAATGTTCTTTCTCATTGTGATGCCACAACGTATTAATTCCTAGAACGGGCTGTTCTCTGCAGGCCGCTGGTGTGGATGATGGCAGGCCACTGGCCCTAAGAATGCACCCTGCCTTCCCCAGAGGTCTCAGTGATGCTCTCTAGAAGTGTTCAGACCTTCTTCTAGTTACTTTCTAGTTAGAAACAAATAAAACCTCCAAGTCCGTGTTTAACTCCTCTCTAGTGTGTTTGATCATAATCCAAAGGCACCGGAAATGCAGCTGGCCTGGTATCTCCTGTGCTGACCTTACAGTGTTAACAGTGCCAGCCACATCCACTGCTGAGGACACTCAGGAAGCTGGGGAGCTACGTCTTATCACACTACCAAAAAGTTACTGAGTATAATTCTATCAGGATGCTCAAGGCACAGGGCTGGTGGCTGGAGAGAAGGAACGGAGTTTAAGAGCACTTACTACTCTCGAGGAGGACCTAGGTTTGGTTTTCTCAGTGCCCACACAGCAGTTCATAATCATAGGTAACTCCAATTCCAGAAAATCTAATGCCCTCTTCTGGCCTCTGTGGGCACTGCACACATGAGGTGTACAGATAAAATACAGGCAAACACCCATTCACATAGGACAAAAAAAATTTTTTTTTTTTTTTAATGTTTAAACTGGTCTGGGAATGCAGCCTGTTTGGTAGTGTGTTTGCTTAGCACTAAGTCTTTGCTTTGGTCCCTAGCTCCACATAAACGAAGCATGAGAATCTATACCTGCAATTCAGCAGTAGGGAGGTAGAGGCTGGGGTTAGCAGGAGATTGGGTTTATCAATAGCTATATAGCAAGTTCCAGGCCAGCCTGAAATATGTGAGACCCTTTTAAGCTGGGCATGGCAGGCGGTTCAGGGCCGGTGAGAGGGCTCAACTGGTAAAGATGGCTGCCACCACGCTTGCTCTCCTCTCCTGCTCGCTTTCGCTGGCAAGTCCATTCCTTCACTGGCATCAGAGCCTGCTTCGTCAGCATGTTGACATATGCTGAAGACCAGCTGAGACATCTAGCCTCGTGGACTGAACAGCTGTTGGATTCTTGGACTTTTCATAGGTAGATAGAGTCATTGTTGGACTAACTGGACCACAGCCTACAAGCTACTATAATAAATCCCATATATATGTCTATGGGAGATCGCTCAGACAGACAGATAGATAGACAGACAGACAGACAGACAGACAGACAGATAGACAGATAGACAGACAGATAGATAACAGATAGACAGACAGACATAGGTATATAGATAGAAAGTTCCGTTCCTTTAGAGAACCATGACAAATACACTCAGGTATTTGCTTTATTAAGTGGGGGTGTTTGTTTGTTTGCCAAACATGATTTCTCTAACCTGCATCTCAGCATTAAGGAGGAGAAGGCAGGAGGAGTGGTGCTTGAGGCCACTCTGGGCCGCATAACGAGTTCCAGGCAAGCCTGGGTTACAATAACATCCTGGCTCAAAGTCTATTTTTACCCCGTTTTATGTATACAATTGAATTATCTCTATATAGGTGTTTATGTATGGAGTTTATGTACATAATCAGTGTCTCATGGTTTCTGAATTTTGACTCATCCTTTAAAAGATCTGTGAGAGTCACTCTGTTTATCTCTATGCACAGTGCAAACTGTAGATCCAAACGTGGCCCATGCCGATGGCCACCAGGATATCCTAACACCAGGAATGAATGCCAAAGCTCTGCCCGAATGAACTCCACACCACGTGCGTATCTTGGGGACTCTGGCTTGTGTCCCATCATACACAATAACACACTACATGAATTACTGAGGCTTTCCAGCATGCTCTAATGGTTGCTAAGACAAAGGCTCAAGGAAACGTTCATGGGTATATTAGTTGTGTTTTTCCTTTCTGTGACAAAATATTGAGCTTGAGACCAATCTGGGCCAGCCTGTACATACAGAGACTCTGTCTCTCAAAAAAAAAAAAAATGGTATTGACCATATGATCCTAGAATTCCATTTCTAGATTTATATGGGAAAAATTGAAAACAGGATCATTTTTTTTTAATTGTGTTTATTAGGCAGACAGTGATAGCTCACGCCTTTAATTCCCAGCATTCAAAAAGCAGAGTCAGGGGGATCTCTGTGAATTTGAGGCCAGCCTGGTCTACAGAGCAAGTTCTAGGACAGCCAGAGCTACACAGAAAAGCCCTGTCTCCCAAAAAAAAAGTGTTTATTTTTCTTTTTTTCTTTTTTTTTTTGTTTTGTTTTGTTTTTGTTTTTTCGAGACAGGGTTTCTCTGTGTGTAGTCCTGGCTGTCCTGGAACTCACTCTGTAGACCAGGCTAGCCTCGAACTCTCGAACTCAGAGATCCGCCTGCCTCTGCCTCCCAAGTGCTGGGATTAAAGGCGTGCGCCACCACCGCCCGGCAGTGTTTATTTTTCTATTATGTATTTGAGTGTTTTTCCTACATGTATGGATGTACACCACGTATATGTAAATTTCCTGGAACTGGAGGCGCAAATGGTTGTGAGCTGCCATGTTGGTGCTGGGAATTGAACCTGGATCCTCTGGGAAAGCAGCCAGTGTTCTTAACCCCTGAGCCATCTCTCTAGTCCCCAAAGCAGGATCTTAGACAGATGTTTGTACCTGCAATAAAAGCTGTGCATCAGGAATGTAGGAGAGTGACAGAGCACTTTGCTAGCTTGTGCTGAGAAAGAGTCCACTTCCCAGTGCTATGAAACAGCCCACGCAGCCATCGATGATGAGGGGGTAAACAGAGTGTCCTGCAGCATACGGTGGACTATTCAACCCCAGAAAGAACATTCTGCGTGTGCTGCAACACAGTCATGAGCCTGGAAGATGCTCTGCTAAGTGACTAAACAGGACACAGCAGGACACATATATGGTCCCATGTATATGAGGTTCCCTGGAGTGCTAATATTCATGAAGGCAGAAAGCAGATGACCGCTGGCTGGGGGCAAAGCTTGTTCTAGTTTCATCTTGTTCCTGTGATAAAAACCCTCTGACCAAGAGGAAGGAAAGAATTTGTTTCATCTAAAACTTCCAGGTCACAGTGAGGAAAATCACGGTGGGATTGCTTGCCGTTGTGTGCATTACTTCCAACCAGGACACTCACAGCCAAAAACATACAGCAGAAGCTGTGGCGGATGCTGCTTGCTGGCTCACTCACAGCCTCATGCTTAGCTAGCTTCTTCTATCGCCCAGGACCACTGACCTAAGGAATAGCACCACCCATAGTGGGCTAGGACCTCCTACACCAATTAATAATCAAGGTAGTCCCCCACAGACATGCCCACAAGCCAATCTGATCAAAGCTGTTTCTTGACTGAGGCTTCTTCTCAGATGACTTCTCAGGGGGCACAAGACCTTGGGCTCACAGAAGAGTACTAGGAGATCCTGGAATGTTAGCACACATGGTTGTTCCTTCAAGGGAAGGAGTGCATAACTTGTTATCCTCTCAGAAGGCTGGGAGCAGACATGTTTTCTAGTCTGGTGATCTTTGTCTTTCTGTGTGATGGGAGAGCACACCAGACCCTCCCTGAGGAGAGTTCTTTATCATAGCTTGCTGTTCTCAGTCCATCTATAGAACTTATCTTTATGGAAGATGTCAATGTACTTTACAAAGAGTTTCTATGCAGTCACGTCCAACCTTTATTTAGCTGACTTTGTTCCTCAGAGAGATTTATGCTTTATTGTACACACGGGATTGAGTTAATTACCATTAGAAAACTTATCACCAAATTGTCCTGGGTTTAAATATGCCCAAAATAAACCACTCGGGATCCAACTTCAGAAGTTTGAAACAACACTGGCTACCTAGTCTTGCTGAACTGAAATAACTTTCTGCCTCTTACCGATCATCACTCTGGTGGCCATGGAGGTTGCAGAGACACACCACCACCACCACCACCACCACACACACACACACACACACACACACACACACTC